AAAAAAAAAAAAAAGACAGGCTAACAAGAAAACAAAGTCCTGCGCTTCAGGGGCACAGAGCCGCTCGAAGGCCACACAGGTCAGGGCAGTCCAGAACCAGCTGGACAGGGCCGGTGTCCAGCACAGCTTTCTGCTGCTCCCCAAGGGGAGGTTCTGACACCAGACAACCAAATTGTCGTAGCTTTCCTCATGAGACAGAGGGCTTTATATTCAACTCAGGATGGGCAATAGTGCTAAGTCTCTACAAATGCTAAGCAAGAGCTAGAAGAAGGGGAAAAGGGAAAAAGAAGTCACAGAGCAGCCATACGAGCCCAAACCATTCAAGGGGAGATGCTGAGTAGGTAGCTGCATTGGGGTTTCAATGCCAGAGCACAGGCGTGGGCTGGTGACATAAATGTGGGCAGCACATTCTCAGCAACTGAACTGAAGATGTGTGTATGGATGTGCTCAACTCCAGTGGGGTTGGGGGAAGGGGAGAGGGCTTAGGGCTAACGCTTGTGAAACTCCAACCTTTAGGTTAGGGAGAGGAGTGGGGGCTGGCCAAGGAGAAAGAGCACCTCACAGGGCATTACAACTTGGCAGGGGGTGGTCATGCAGGGCAAGCAAAGTGGGAGTCCAGTGTGTACAGCACTGGCCAAGGGGACCTGTGAGGCAGATGGGACAGCAGTGCGCTAGATTGAGGTCTGTGTTGTTCATTCTTTACTGAGAGCTGCTGGAACGATGGAGAAGGAAGTCAGATCCCATGAGAGGAGAGTGAGTAGACAGTGAGGACGTGGACACACTCACTACAGAGACTGTCGTGATCACTACAGACTTTAAGAAGTCTGGCTGTGAAGGTAACAGGAACTGTAGCTGAAAGGAACAGCTGGTGGGAAGATAGAGGGAAGGACGCTGGTTGGATAGGCCTTCCTTCTGCTACTACTTGGTGGCCCAGTCTCTGTGTTTTTTCTCCTCTCCTCCATTTTCCAGATCCGTTCTACATGAGTCCCCCGACATATGTAAAATAACAAAAGTTCCTAAAATGAGGGCATGGTCCCCTCCAGTTCTAATGTTCTGCCAGTCTAGTTCCTCCTGCTATTCCCAACCCACAAGCCTCCAGGATGGCCAGCTCTGGAAGAATGCTATTCTTTTAGGCTCGCCGCAGGCTCACTGCTCTTTTATTCTTTTCTATATCCTAGTCAGACCATTTCTTCTATGACAAAGGAATAAAAACCAAAAACAAACAAACAAACAAAACCTAACAACCTAGGAAGTTCAAAATCGAGGAGAGATACATATATATTCCTTGCCAGTTATTAAGCCACTATTAAGAAAACCTACTTTCAGAGAAGTATCAATAACAAAGTAGAAGATAGTGCTAAAATTAAAATACAAATGGCAATCCACCATATATGATATCACCTATTGGAGAAAGGAAATAGTCCAAAATGTGATTAGTGTGTTATCTCTGGGTGGTGAGATTACAGGTGATTTTAATTTTGCCTTCATACTGTTTAAATATTTTTAAGTATTCTAAAATGACCATATATAAGTTTTATAAATAGAAAAAAATGAATATTGCTTAAAACTCAAATAAGTCATTAACTTGTTGATTTATTTATTGAACATTTGCTTCTCATATTCTAGGTACAGAAGACACAAAGAAGCATAAGTGATAGTCCCTATGCTCAAGAAGCTCATGTCTACAATGTCACCATTAGCTATTCTGGTTGACAGGCACCCACTATCCCCGCTTCTGAAGCAGCACCCTAATTCTGTTTGGAGGAAACCATCCTTCCCTGCCTCCGGAATTTCAGCGGGCCTTGTGGTCTAAGCCAGTTAGCCCATCCCATTCCTTACAGGACTGGTTCAAGGATACACACACAACCCATTAGAACACAGAGAACAAGTAAAACCAAGGACTGAACAGGAGTAGCTAGAGGAGCCACACTCTCTTGAGACGATCCCATGATGGGCTAAGGGAGAGATGACCCCTTTCTCCTGTGATGACCTAGGTGTGAAGATGACCCCTCTCTCCTATGATGGTTATAGTGGGAGGTAACTTCTCTATCATATGAGGGTCTAAATGTCATGGTGACCCCTTTCCCTTATAATGGTCTGAGTGAGAGATGACCCCTTTCTCCTGTGCTGGCCTAGGTGTGAAGAAGACCCCTTTTTCCTGTGATGTCTAAGTGGGAGGTGATCCCTCTCTTCTGACGTGGTCTAAGTGTGTGATGCCCTTTTCTTGTGAGATGGTCTAAATGTGATGATTCATGAGCCCAAAGCTGTGGAGACTCATGCAGAGCATGTTAGTCACCCCAAAATGAGCAGAGTAAGGTCCTTGAAACAGTGTCTAGTTCCTGAACCAAACTCAACCAACAGCTAGCCTTCCAAGGGATATTGAGTTATTAAAGTGAATAGACTATTTTGCTTAAGTCAGCTTGAATTCATTTTTGTTTGTTTTGTTTTCTTGAACCCAACATATTTCTCAATTATCCTGCCCTTAGAAGGATAGCTGTATACACAACGAACTATAACTCAAAGTAGCCCGTGCTCTAGGAAAGTCAAGAGGGCAGGGCTCTGAAACCAGAGGAGCTCAGGGAAGAATGCTTCCTATATGACTTGGGTCTTAGGAGCCTGGAAAGGGAATTCCTGGCAGAAGGACTAGCATGCGCACAGGCCGAGAAGTGTGCAGTGCACAGTGTGTTCCAGAAAGTCCTGCAGCTTCCTGTGGCTTGTTGAACCCTTGGTGGAGACACGATAAGAAAGAAGACTAGGGCTAGATTCTGAAGAGATTCCAATGAATTAAAGAAATTATGGGGGTTGAGGAGAGAAAAGTGTTTTTTACAGTAAAAAACAAGTAACAGAACAGTGGGAAACAGTCTGGAGTAGGAAACAGAAAAGAAGTCCTATCTCCAAGCCATTGTTTATGCTGCATCGTCCCTCCAACATGTCCTTCTAACAAACTTCTACAGGGAGGAAGCATTTTATTCATCCTTATATCTCACTGCTCAGGACAGGGGAGATCTTAATAAATGTCTGCTAAATAACTCTGTAAAGAAAAGAAGGAACCTACAGCTTACCCATTCTTCAAGTCAAACCTACTTCAAAAGTCCCACCAGCTCACACCAATCCCCCCCAGCACGCCTGACCCCACAGTCATCCCCTCTTCTTTGATCTTTTTTTCTGGTTTACTCATTCCATTTACACTGTTAGTAACTATCTAATGCACGTACGGCTCCTCTCACTAACTAGAGAAAGGAATCACACCTACTCTTAAAGTCAGGCTGGACTCTAGGCTCTAGGCTTGGACAATCTACAATTCCTGCCTCAACTCTGGGCTTCAAGGACCTAAACTCAGCAACATTGCAGTTTAACGTAAGATGATGAATATCAAAATTCAAATATTAAAAACCCTAGATTATTTTTCTCCTCCCTTTTATCTAAATCTGCTTAAATTACAGCAAAATAATAATGAATACAAGGAATGGTACATTTAGAGCACAGTCAGGCCCTGCTTTATTATGTTACCCAGCCATCTGTGACCTTTCTTTCATTAGAGGCATTTGGGAATCTAGCTCTGAATCACTCTGCTGAATGACAATGGCAAAGCAAAAACAGTACTGTGGCTTTAAGAGCCTTGCTGCTCACTTATTTATCTGGTCCATTTTTCTTAAACAGTAAACAAATGGTCAAGTTTGGGTTCTGCCAACAAGATAAACTTCCTAGACAATATTCTAGAAAATATTGTCATGGTATGCAGATGTGAAATTAAAAAAATGATGTTACTATGATTGTGTACACGTACACACACACACACACACACACACACACACACACCTAAACATACATGAATTCAGACCTTCTAAATATTAAGAGTCATCTAAAACACCATAAGAATTTCATATTTAGTGGGAAACCTGCAGTGGCACTTCTCTATCTCTTTTCAGGCTGTACCACAGTGTAGTGTCATGACAAGCACTGATTGCTTTTTGGTTGAGAGAGAAAGGATTTCAATTCTAGGTTTTAACTGAGCGGCAGCTGAGGACTCCCATGCACACTTGGGGAAAGCCAGGGGCCCACAGAGATGCCCTGGTGTCTCCTTGGACTTTCGGTTTTTTAAAGCATCACTATCACCCAAAGTATGCTCCTGATCCCTTTGCCTTCCCATCCTTGATTGCCCCAATTCTTGCATGATTGCAATGTCTCCGTTTTCTCTGAGGTTGCGTTCTGCATCCTGAGTCGGATGGAAAACACAAATTTGCTACATGGAACTTATTTCCATGCTTGTACGGCTCACAAAACTCAGAGCCCACCTGTCTGAAGGGCTGACCACAACAGAATTGCAGAGGTAACACAATCCCACCCGTCTTTTATTTTTCATGTACCCTAACCATGAAAGCTAATACTTCAGCTGGCCTCTATCAGGAAAATCAAATTCAACAAGCCATCCCTTCCTGGTTACACTCGCCCATGTTTTGAGATCGGGGTTGATGGTCCAACTTCCCCCTTCCCCATGGGCGCTTCGCAATCAGGCCCCTGGATTCGCAGCGGCGAATCCTGTCTCCCTGGGAGATGGGTGCCCATCGTCCGCGGTCCTGGGGATCGGGAGTGGGCCGCCCGGCGGGGAGGACAGCGGTTCCTCGTTAAGGGTTGGGAGAAGATAGACCAGAGGGAAGGCGGACGGATGTCAACGCCCGAACCAAGATTCTCATATCGCACATCAATTCACGGAGGCAACTCTCGGAATTGCGCGAAATGCATCCCTCACAGATGCTCAGCGAAAGCCCTCCACGCAGAGGGGCCGCTTCGGCCCCAGCTCGCGCGGTCCCCCGGCGGCGGCGAGCAGCGGCGCGGGCGCCCACGGGCTGGCAGGTGCCCGGCGCCCCGCTCCGCGCGCTTACCCAGGGCCCAGGCGCAGCTCTCTTTGATGGCTTTGTACTTGCTCCCGGACGCTTCCTTCTGCAGCTTCTTCAGGGTCTCTTCCATCTTGACCTTCGCAGGGGCCCGGCCGCAGACCGCGGGAGAAGCGCGCGAGGCCCGGCCGGGGATGTCGCCGCCGCTGCTGCCTGGCCCCGAGAGAGCTAGGCGGCCGCTGCGCCCGCCAGCATCCGGCCCGGGCTCGGCGGCTGATGAATCACGCCCGCTCCATGCCGCGGGCCACGTCAGTGCTGGCGCCCCGCCCCGTCCGCCCGGCGCCCCGCCCGCGGGGGTCAGGTGCGCGCCCGCGATGGGGCGGGCGGAGGGTCGGAGGCTGAGAGCGCGTCCCTGAGCCGGCTGTCAAGGCAGGCGCTCGGGGATCGAGGCTTCGCGGAAAGGTGGAGGCGGATGTCCTGAGCTGGCTCGCCGGCCAGGCGTTGGCAGAGCTCAGCCCGAAGGAGCGTCTGATCGGCGGCGGGCAGCCGGCGGGGAGGGGCCTCCCTGCTGTCCTGCCCGCGCCACCCCCTGCTCCAGGCTGGCGGAGTTGGGGCGGCCTAGCCAGGTTCGCGGACCCCCAGTTGCACCTTCTCATCCACTTTTCCGTGTGTTCGCGATTTAGTGAACAGTTCCTCTGGGCCACTCTGCGTGCCAGGTTCGGTGCCAGGCTCGGGCGCTACCTGTGAATAGATTGTGACCCTGCCCAAAATACGTGCAACGCTATCGAGAGAGGGTGTGAGTGTGTGTGTGAGTGTGTGTGTGTGTGTGTGTGTGTGTGTGTGTGTGTGTGTGTGTGTGTGTGTGTGTGTTGGTAGAACTTAATATCCCCTTTATCACACTTGCAAACAAGCCCAGAGAGGCTGTTACTTCCCAAACCAACAAGAGGTGGACTCAAAATAAGATTCTTGAATCCAAAACTTAATAAACAACAACAAAAACACTCTCTTCTCTCCCTTTCCCTATTGTCTTGTGCTGAATTGTTTCCCTCTGTGGGGGGAAAAGAAGTGGGTGAGGGGGTGGCACATAGGGGTTCACCAAGCAGAAGGCTACCTGGCTTGCATGGGGGTAGGAGAGGGTGGACAATGAAAGCTTCCCCAATGAAGACCCCTTAGGCCATCTTGGGAGGGCGAAGTGGGTGGCCCCGAATGGTGGAGGCATTGTGAGCCAGGGCCTCAACTCGGAGAGAAAGTAGGGACCCTGTTTCAGTAACTTAAAGTTGTTCCCTGATGGAGGCCCTGGGATGGTTGTTGGAGGAAAGAGGGAGAGGAAAACAAGAATTTCATTGCAAGTCTCATTTTTTCCTTGCGGAGAAAGCTGTGAGTGGGAGCTAAGAAAGAGTTTGAAGCGTATTCCTTTTCCTTTAGAAATGTAACTGTGGCAGTAGCGAGGAAGATAAGTTGCAGAGTGCTAGACTGGCAGCCAGGAGAACAGTAAGACGATTCTGCAGTAACCTAGAAATAAGTTAAGCCAATGGTGGGTGAAACGGAATAGAGAAAAATATAGCAAGGAATATTTAGGAAGTAGAAGTAGTAGAATTTACTGGCTGATTTGGGTGGTAGCATATGGAATCACTTCCAGGTTTCTTGTTTGGGAAAATGGGAGGATGGTGGCCCATGCTTCAAGTTAAAAAAGAGAGGGGAAGAAAGGTTTGGAATCTGAGAAGCATATAAATTCAGTTTTGAACACTTTTAGGTTGACAAGATAATGAGATATCCATACGGTGTTTTACTTATGGGCAGGAATATGGAGCAGGGCTCTGTGACAGAAATGAGGATTTGAAAGCCATCAAGCATTGACAGTTGTTGATGCCTAGGGTTTGGCAAAGGTTGCAGGGATGCAGTGGATGGAATGGGAAAAGCAAGACGCCAGGGAGGGAGTTGGGGGTCCTCTTACCCTCAAATAATGGGCAGAGTAGTAAGTGCTAAAAGAGGAGGCTGAGAAGAAGTAATCAGAAAACCTGAGGTATGGGAGGACAGCCAGGAAAGGGAATGTCACAGGAGGGTGTCCAACAGATGGGGGTGTTCTGACTGCTCCTTAAGCCCTCTTGGTACTGAGGAGGCAAAACTTGCAAAGTCTCAGCCTCCAAGGAGCCTTCTGCTCACCATCCACACACCCCATGAAGCCATCATTTGAAGAAAGATTTCCAGGGCCGCTAAAAAAAAAAAGTTCAAAAACATTGTAGTAGATAGTATAATGATGTTAGACTACATTGTTAACTATTTGAAAAATATATATGTAGATCACAACTTTATACCTTATAGAAAAATAAATTACAAATGTGTTAAAGAGTCAAATTTAATAATGGAACCTAAAATGTTTAGAAGAAAATGTAAGTGAATATACTTATCTTAATGCTTTAAGATTATTTCTAACAAACCAGCTAAAGCAGAAACTGAAAATAGGAAAGGTAAATAGATTTGACTATTTCAATATGTATAACCTTTACATCAAAAGTTTGATTAAAAAAAAAATTAAAAAGCACATGACACCTGAAGGGTGGATTGAAGGAGGAAAGAATAAATTACCTTTTAATTTTATGCGTATTTATATTTTTTTACTCTTTTAAAGTTATTATCTTTTAATTAAAAACAAATTCACCTAAGATATAAACTAGGAGGCCGGCCCAGTGGCGCGTTGGTTAAGAGCTGGCTTGGGACGCCAGAGGACCCTGGTTCGGATCCCACATATGAGGGCCAGTGACACAGCCCTCCACAGCTAAGATGCTGAACAACAACTCGACCTGGAGCTGGGCTGCCTTGGGTCGCCAGCAACGGCGTAGGCTGCTGTCCCCTGCTGCGGTGGGCTGCCATAAGCTACCTTTTGTAGCCGGCAGCCAGCGTGAGCGGCCAGCAGCCGTGGAGAGCGGCTGTCCAGAGGCCGACGACTGATCTGCCTCACCTGGGAAGAGCGCAATGATGGTGCCAGCTTGGGCCAGTGAAGCAACATCCTCCACAACTAGACTGAAGAACAAGACAGCAGCAACTTGTCTGTTCCACTTCCCCCAATTCTCCAGCACTGTTCCCCTCCCCCAATTCCCCAATAAAATCTTAAAAAAAAAATAATGTGGAAGAGGAACACTGAATGACATGAAAAGCAGTTTCTACTACATAGTTAAATAAGAAAATTGTAAAAATGCTGTGTATTAAATGATTTCAATTTTATTATTTAAATATTTGATGTGGATGTACATATAAGTACAAAATACATATGTATGTATATAATTGGAAAATAAACAAAATATAAACAGTGTTTATCTCTGATG